AGCAGGGTAGACTTGGCTAAAATGAGAAGCGTTGAAAAGTGGTGGGATGTTATGTACTTGGTTGTATCTGTTTCTCTGTACTCACGATGATAACCAGGGTTGGGGAACAGGGAGGGAGTTGACTTACTGTAGACTTGAGAGATCACCTGTAGAATCTCCATCCTAGCTTATTTTACCTCACCTAACCTAACCAAACACTAATGGGGGGAGGTAATATTCTTCACGTCTCTGCATGTTGATTTAGGTAAACAGTGTCACCTTGTGTTCGTTTTTCCCGACGTAGAGTTCCAGCAGTAGTATAAAGAAGAACGTCCTGTCAGAGGCCTGCAGGTATGAGCCACTCTTGTCATCATCGTTGTCATGTGCTGTGTTAATAGGTACCCCCTCCCCCCTCCCTTACCCCCACACACCGCCATTATTGTGTGGCGACGTGAAGAGACTTAACTTCCCCCACAGCCTCCAGAGTGGTCCGTGTTGGAGGGCGTGGGTCTGTGAGGTACATACTGGGCAGTCCCGTTTACACCCAGCCCCTATCGCTCATATATCCACCCAACCTATGTTTGAAGTTATCCAGCGTATTCGAGTTAATGATGATGTTTGGTAACTTGTTCCACTCATCCACTACTCTATTTCCAAACCAGTGTTTACCTATTTCGCGCCTAAATCTAAATTTGTCTAATTTAAAACCATTGTTACGAGTTCGCTCCTGGTTGGATAGTTTGAGTACCTTTGTTATATCACATTTGTTTAGCGCTGACTTCCATTTATACACCTCGATCATATCACCCTCTGAATTCTTTCTAGGGATTTTATATCCATTCTGTAGTACGGTTACCAGAACTGAACTGTGTAATCCAAGTGAGATCTCGCAAGCGCAATATATAGTTTTAGGATAACCTCGCTAGTCTTGTAACTAAGACTCCTTTGTATGAACCCAAGTACTTTATTAACCTTGTTTCGAGGAAATACACATTGTTGACTAGGCTTAAGATTTCTACTTATCATTACTCCCAAATCTTTCTCACAGTCAGTTTTCTCTATAACACCGTTGTTCACCTGGTATCTGGTTTCTTTGTTGTCATCTCGTAGACTAAGTACAGTACTTTACATTTGTCTCAGTATTGCGTTTAGTTGTATGATTATAGTGAATACTTTCTGTGTATGAGTGATAAAAGCCCTGTGTGTGTGGGTGAGGCTGGTGCCCTGGTTGTGGTATAATACTGTAAATGGATGGCGGGCACGTGAGCAGGGTAAGATGAACCAGAAGGTGGACGGTGTGACGGCTATTCCTCCCCAGTACGAAGTGAAACCCAGCTACCAGTTCCGTATGCGGGTGATGCCTCCTTGTTAACCCAGCAAAGAAAAAAAAAAGGCTATTTGGGCGAAAGTATTTATAATTTGGTTATGACTGCAAGGAGTGAATGTTAAAACCAAGTGGTGGAGGGGTGAGGTAAGAGCCTTCGTGGTTCCCGTGTTTTGACTAAATGTTTGGCTGTGTGAGGGAAGAGTGGAGTATTGGGGAGGTGGAGGTAAGTCGTGGTAGTGGTGGTAGTGGTGGTAGGATATCATGGGGGTTATATTAGCAAAAGGAATATTAAGTTGTGGAATTAGTATAGTCGTGAGGGTTAGTGATGATGGTTTTGTGGTAGTAGTAGTCGTCGTGGTGGTGTTTGTGAGGTGGTGAGGGCGGTCGTCACTCTTGGGTGGGGTCGTGGCGGGGTAACGTGTCTTGAGAGTTCTTTGTTTACCTTATCATCATGTAGCTGTACCCTGACTACACAACACGGGGGTACAGAACTACACCTTGTCCTCACCAAACTACAGCTGTATTTCCTCACTCTTGAAATTTTTAGGTCATTTGGTGAGGGTTCAGTCTTGGAGTTTATATTGTCTTTTGTTACGCCTTTTGTGTGTGTGTGTGTGTGTGTGTGTGTGTGTGTGTGTGTGTGTCCCAACATTCGTGATCTTGATGATAAACAGCACAAGTAGGACGCTGCCAGCTTGTTACTATAGCGACAGTGCTCTTCATGCTGGTGTTGCCCCCCTTACTTCACTCACCTCTACCTACCTGCCTTACCTTCCTCACCTGTTCTTGATGATTGTTTAGTTGGCTAATGATGATTGTTCGTTTGTTGATACTGGGGCGATTAGTTTCACACACACACACACACACACGAGAGAGAGAGAGAGAGAGAGAGAGAGAGAGTGTGTGTGTGTGTGTGTGTGTGTGTGTGTGTACAGCTCAGGTGATGGGAATGTTGATAAATAAGGTAGTAGGTCTAAACAGTTAAGGTGTGTGTCTTGTCCTTGGTGGCGGCGGTGTTGCAGCATTATATACGGTATGTTATATCGGGTTTACCTGGCCCGGTAAATATCACTTGTTAACGTCGTACACTGCCCCGCCCCCACACCACACCCCCCCCTCACGCCCCCCACAACCCCATCACACACCTCCTCCTCACCCCCCACCAATCCCTCTTCCCTCCCTCACGCCCCCACCACCCCTCCCTCACGCCCCCCATCTCCCTCACGCCCCCCACCTCCCTCACGCCCCCCCACCTCCCTCCCCCACCACCCCCCCCACCAACCCCCCCCCACCACCTCCCTCTCTCACCCTCCTTCCCCTCCCTTCATGAGTTGCAGCAAGACTAATGAACCACCAACAACAACCGTGTGAGTAATGACTGGTAAAATGAAAATATATCGAGCATCACATGAAGATTAGGCACCCCTGCTCCACCTCCCAGCTACCTATTTCACCTTATGACTAAACACACTGATTTGTACCCACAACCCAACCCAACCCAACCCACCCAACCCAACCCAACCCAACCCAACCCACCCAACCCACAACCCAACCCAACCCACCCAACCCAACCCAACCCACCAACCCAACCCAACCAACCCAACCCAACCCAACCCAACCCAACCCAACCCAACCCAACCTCACCTCCACTCCACTCTGGAAGGGCAACACCTTGATGATATGCTCTCCAGTCAACAGACGTAATACAGACTTAGTTGTTGTGGAGTCATTATAAACACAGGTGACTCGCCCGCCGTCCCAGACCCTCGCTACAAACAACATGGCGTCTGACCTGTTGTTTATGTTTAGACGACGAGAAGAGTGTGAGTAATAATGAGTAGCTACAGTACACCCTCCATATAACGGACTGACCTCTCCATGTATTCCGTTAAATGCAGGTTTCACATGACACCCTCCATATAACGGACTGACCTCTCCATGTAATCCGTTAAATGGAGGTTTCACATGACACCCTCCATATAACGGATTTATCTCCATGTAATCCGTTAAATGGAGGCTTCACATGACACCCTCCATATAACGGACTGACCTCTCCATGTAACCGTTAAATGGAGGCTTCACATGACACCCTCCATATAACGGACTGACCTCTCCATATAACCGTTAAAGAGAGGTCTCGCTGTAATATCGTTCACTATATACAGTTTATGCATAAGTAGTACACCTTTACACAAGAAGTTGATGAACGCTTCCTAACTTTTGTACCAGGAATAACACAATGGTTAGGTTAGGTTAGGTTAGGTTTGGTTTGGTTTGGTTTGGTTTACATAAGAAAATAAGGAGTCTGCAATAGGCCGGTTGGCCTGTGCACGGCAGCTCCTGTCGAGAGTTACTACCACTCTCTATCATCCATGAATCTATCTAGCCTCCTTTTGAAACTTTCCAGAGTTCCAGCACTTACTACAAAGTTGCTAAGCTTGTTCCACTCGTCCACCACCCTATTTGTGAACCAGTTTCTTCCTATCTCCCCCCTAAACCTAAACTTATCCAACTTGAATCCGTTGCTCCGAGTCCTATCCTGCTCGGATATTATAAGAACTTTATCTATATCGCCTTTATTGATTCCTGTCACCCACTTAAATACTTCTATCATATCTCCCCGCACTCTTCGTCTTTCTAGGGAATGCAAGTTAAGTTTCTTTAACCTATCCTGATATGGAAGGTTTCTAAGTCCCGGAATCATTTTTGTCATTCTTCGCTGCACCGACTCTAGTGATTTTATATCCATTCTATAATAGGGGCACCAGAACTGAACCGCATGATCGAGGTGCGGCCTGACTAGCGCAAGATATAGTTGCAATAAGACCTTTGCACTCTTGTTACTTACACTTCTAGATATAAAACCCAATACTCTGTTTGCCTTATTTCGAACATTAACGCACTGTTTTCTAGGCCGTAGGTCCGGGCCTACAAGTACCCCTAGGTCTCTTTCACAAGTCGACTTCTCTAGGTTGATGTTGTTAAGGCTGTATACATTATCAGTATTTGTTCTTCCAATATTAAGTACGCTGCACTTGCTGGTGTTGAATTTCATTTGCCATTTGGTTAGGTTAGGTTTGGTTTTAGTTTTGTTTTGTTTTGGTTTGACCAGTTGGGATTGGGTTACGTTTGGTTAGGTTAGAGTTACGTTAGTTAGGTTAGGATGGAATACGTTTGATTGGGATTGGAGTTACGTTACGTTTGGTTGGAATTTGGGTTAAGGTTTGATCAGGTTAAGTTAAGTTTGATGAGGCTGCCTTAGAGAATCCCTTGCTCTATCATCAGGTGGCGCTGTATACTATGTGAAAGTAAGTCATTGTTTATTATTGTTATGTTCAGTATAAGAGCCGTGACTGGTGGAAGCTTTTGGGGGTGGCTGCTGATGGTGTGGGATGTGATGGTGATAATGGTGTAAGGTTGTGATAATGAGCCTCCCTGAACAACCTTTTTTTACAGTTATTGGGTGGCTGATGATGGTGTAAGGATGTGATGGTGATAATGGTGTAAGGTTGTGATAGTGAGCCTCCCTGAACAACCTCTTTTACAGTTATTGGGTGGCTGATGATGGTGTAAGGATGTGATGGTGATAATGGTGTAAGGTTGTGATAGTGAGCCTCCCTGTTATTGGGTGGCTGATGATGGTGACCTCTTACACAGTTTTACTAATTGTCTCTCTCTCTTTGTCTGTCTACAGGTTATGAAGTCCCACAATCCGACATGCCTGGATGTAAGTATTGGCTCTTATTTTGCTTTTGACACGACACGTCTACCTGTACTGTTGTTACCTGTCACCTGTACTGTTACCTGTTCTGTTATTGTCACCTGTTACTTGTACTGTTATTGTCACCTGTACTACTGTTTTTACCTGTACTGTTGTCACCTGTACTGATACTTGTTCTGTTATTGTCACCTGTACTGTTGTCACCTGTACTGATACTTGTTCTGTTATTGTCACCTGTACTGATACCTGTTCTGTTATTGTCACCTGTACTACTGTTGTTACCTGTACTGTTATTGTCACCTGTACTTTTGTTATCTGTACTGTTATTGTCACCTGTACTGTTATTGTCACCTGTACTGTTGTTACCTGTCCTATATGTTTGGTTGTGTTCTGTACTGTACTATTCCTCACGCTGGGTCTTGTTGGTGTAGTGTAGAGGTGTATCCCAGACACCATTCTTTATTTATAGTGTGTGTTACCTGTGTTATTGTGTGTGATACAGGTGAGTGTGTCACATGTATGTACTGAATATATTCTGTTTTATGTGTGACGACTGTTGCTGTTGTGTTATAGATGGTGTGTGTGTGTGTAATGTTGTCTCAGTGATACATTATAAGCGTCGGTCATGTTATGGTGGGGTGTCTCGTGGTTGTGATGAGTAATTCATTTTTAAGTGTGTTGTGGTTGTTACACATATTAGCGTCTTATGTGTTGTGATACATGTTTAGTGTGTACAGTGTTATTGGCTGTGATGTTGTGTCCTTAATTGATGGCTGAAGAACTCATATTCACCAACGTTTTACTCCCTCAGAAAAACGTGTGACTGATGTTTTTCTGCCTCGCCACTAAACTGTTTATCCGAATGTGTGACTTCTTTAGCATTTGTGGGAGACTGGGGGACCTTGTTGGAGACTTGGGGACCTTGTTGGAGACTGGGGGACCTGGGACCTTGTTGGAGAGCTTGGGAAGGGACCTTGTTGGAGGCTGGGACACTTGTTGGAGGCTGGGGACCTTGACCTGGTTGGAGGGGGACCTTGTTGGAGACTTGGGAGACCTTGTTGGAGACTTTGGGAGGGACCTTGTTGGAGACTTGGGGGACCTTGTTGGAGACTTTGTTGGAGGGGACCTTGTTGGAGACTTAGGGACCTTGTTGGAGCTGGGGGTTGTTTTGGAGACAGGACCTTGTTGAGACTGGGGACACAGGGGACCTTGTTGGAGACTGGGGACCTTGTTGGAGACTGGGGGACCTTGTTGGAGACTTGGGGGACCTTGTTGGAGACCTTGTTGGGGGGGATTGTTGGAGACTGGGGGGAGACTGGGGGACCTTGTTGGAGACTGGGGACCTTGTTGGAGACTGGGGACTTGTTGGAACTGGGGACCTTGTTGGAGACAGGGGACCTTGTTGAGACTGGGGGACCTTGTTGGACCCTTGTTGAGACTGGGGAACCTTGTTGGAACCTTGTTGGAAACTGGGGGGACCTTGTTGGAGACTGGGGGACCTTTTTTGGAGACTGGGGGACCTTGTTGGAGACTGGGGACCTTGTTGGAGACTGGGGGACTGTTGAGACTGGGGACCTTGTTGGGAGACTTGGGAGACTGGGATCTTGTTGGAGCTGGAGGGACCTTGTTGGAGACTGGGGACCTTGTTGGAGACTGGGGGACCTTGTTGGAGACTGGGGACCTTGTTGGAGACTGGGGACCTTGTTGGAGGCTGGGGACCTTGTTGGAGGCTGGGGACCTTGTTGGAGACTGGGGACCTTGTTGGAGACTGGGGGACCTTGTTGGAGGCTGGGGACCTTGTTGAGGCTGGGGGACTTTGTTGGAGGCTGGGGACCTTGTTGGAGGCTGGGGGACCTTGTTGGAGACTGGGGACCTTGTTGGAGACTGGGGGACCTTGTTGGAGACTGGGGACCTTGTTGGAGACTGGGGGACCTTGTTGAGGCTGGGGGACCTTGTTGGAGGCTGGGGGACTTTGTTGGAGGCTGGGGGACCTTGTTGGAGGCTGGGGGACCTTGTTGGAGACTAGGGGACCTTGTTGGAGACTGGGGACCTTGTTGGAGGCTGGGGACCTTGTTGGAGACTGGGGACCTTGTTGGAGACTGGGGACCTTGTTGAGGCTGGGGGACCTTGTTGAGACTGGGGACCTTGTTGGAGACTGGGGGACCTTGTTGGAGACTGGGGGACCTTGTTGGAGACTGGGGACCTTGTTGGAGACTGGGGGACCTTGTTGGAGACTGGGGGACCTTGTTGGAGGCTGGGGGACCTTGTTGGAGACTTGGGGACCTTGTTGGAGACTGGGGGACCTTGTTGGAGACTTGTGGACCTTGTTGGAGACTTGTGGACCTTGTTGGAGACTGGGGGACCTTGTTGGAGACTGGGGGACCTTGTTGGAGAACCTATTTTTAAGACTGCTGAAGGTCTTTGTGTTATTTTGTTAAGCCACTTTTTAAGACTTTAGGAGAGGGTTTGTTTGTGCGTTAATTTGGTCTTTAGTCCGCGACTATTAATTCTTTCTATGAGGAATCGCTTACTTTTTTAATTTTTGACTTTTGTTAATTTTTCCCCATTTGTTTTCGTTTAGGTTGTCGTGAATCTTTCCTCTCCGTCGATCGTGTCAAAGAGGCAGATTGTTATTTTGTTCCATTTTGACTCGCAGTGAGTGTATGGAGACAAGAACACATCCCGTACGGTACACAGTGAACCTGGTCTGTACTTTAATGTTAACAATGAATTTTGGGTTTGTTGGTTGGGATTTTAAAAGATAAAATTTCTAATGCTTATTGCAAGCAACATGACGACGCTCATCTAAGAGAGGTGTGTGTGTGTGTGTGTGTGTGTGTGTGTGTGTGTGTGTGTGCCACCTACTCAACTCCTTTGCTCTGGAAAAAAAGGTGATGTGACGACAAGCTTTGGCAACTTGGCGTGCAATTGACCCGTCATACGCACGTGGCGAGGTGGTAGTGGGCGGCTGTGTGGGTGAGCGGGTGGGTGGTGATGACGCAGGTGGGGGGGGGATGGTTGTAAAGGAACAGAGAGTGAGAAGCCAGCAGCCTTACACAAACGCGTTACCAAGTTAATTATTGGTCATTGATGTCAGGTAAGGCTGGGGGGGGGGGGTTGAGTGGTCGTTACCTCCGTTGGTTCTGAAGGATAAATAACAATCATTAATTGGCAATCATTATAACTGTTAAGCTCAAGTCTTGTAAATACGTCGTGTGAAGACTTGAGGAATATTATGTGGCCTTAAAACCAGTTATTTAAAGCTCTTGGAGTACCTATACTGTATATACCGGCCAGCCAGACGGGGATGGCGGGAGGTACACACAGCCTGGGTCACCATATGATGATCCTTCCTCACACACTTACCGGAAGACGAGGTGTTTGAGGCACGTGTAGAAAAAGAGGATTTTATATACTGTACTTTACGCGGACTTTACCTGGTGCTTTTCTCCAGGTAATTATGTAGTTGATGAAACTCGGGTAGTTGTTATCAGGAGTGGGAGAGTAGCAGCGTTGTAACAGGCAGAACGGGCGGGTGTTTGGCTGGACGAGTCACTACCCCAAAATTGTTTAGCTGTTCCTAGTTAATCTTTGTCGTATTTGTTATCAAGGTTAGGTTAGGTGAGGCATGGGGCAGCAGAGTGTATCACCCTCACGTTAAAGGTTGTCTCATATCAGGTGGGGGTGGGAGGTGTGCATCCAAAACATCCTGTCTGATGGAAACATTTTGGCAAGGCTTGTTTACTTGAGGATTGTTGACCATGATGTTTTTAAAATACACCTGAAGTAATTCTATTTATATTAATCATGAGATGACCTTTTATACCCAGGCTAAAAGTTGACCATCACCCTGGCTATTTTGTTCTTTTATTTTCTATTTTTCATTGTTTTTATTTGTTTATTATTGTTGTTGTTATTATTATTATTATTATTATTATTATTATTATTATTATTATTATTATTATTATTATTATTATTATTATTATTATAATTGTTGTTGTTGCTTTTAGAGTGGGAGGAAGGAAGGGGTGTGAGGTCCCAGTGTTTATTTTTACCCTCGTGTGTGTGTGTGTGTGTGTGTGTGTGTGTCCCTCACAAGGTCCTACGCTACCTTACGCACCTTTTCTAATCTTAAGAAGAGCCACCAAGGACACTAACTCGATCCTAATTCGGGTGAGGCAGCTCGCATTACTTGAAGACCCTACCCCACCCTACCCTACCGTACCCTACCTCACTCCCCACCCCACCCCTACCCCCCAATCTCCCCACTCCCCACCCTACCCCACCCCACCACCCCTTCCCCAACTCTAACACCCTACCCTACCTCCTGCACCTTCATTTTATTTCACCTATAGAGGTCCTGACTAACCCGACCTACAGGAGAGTTAGATTAGCGTTAGTTAATCGTCCGGTGATCGGGAAGCTCTGCCTGTGTAGTAAAGAGATCATTCGACTGTTTGATATGTAAATTGTCTTCCATTTGCTCATTATTAACCTTTTTTAGATAGAGGAAACGGGCGATGCTTTACTGGTTAGGAGGAGGGAGGGGGACAACAGTGGCGGGAGGGGGGAGGGAGGGGGGGACAACAGTGCGGGAGGAGGGAGGGGGCGGACAACAGTGGCGGGAGGGAGGGAGGGGGACAACAGTGGCGGGAGGAGGAGGGAGGGCGGGACAACAGTGCGGAGGAGGGAGGCGGGCGGGACCTTGAGACGCGGATCTTGCCCCCAAGTTGACATCTCAACCCCCCTCCCTCCCCCCTCCCCCTCCTCTCTGCTTCTGCCCCTCTTCCCGTTCCTACCCCTCCTTTCCACCCCCATGCATATTTTACCACACAGGGTATCCCTCCCTTCTCACCCCATCTTCCCTTCCTCTTCCCTACTCCCCACCTTCCTACCTCCCCTCCTTCCCTCCTCTCCCCAAACAGCCTGTCCTGCACCCCCTTGTTCATTACCTTCCTTGAATAGTGACTGAACTACGACACCTGGTCACACCTGCCTCACCTGGT